TCTTTCACTTGAGAAACATCCGTTCAAGATGCGTCTTTTCTAAACAGGAGAATACCTCATCTATTTCACTTCAGAAACATCCTTTCAAGATGGGTCTTTTCTAAACTGGAGAATCTATCATGATTTATCTAGTAAAAAAGAAAGTAAATCCAAGGACATTCACCTCATTACGTGCCTCCATGCCTTCAGGGTTGTCAGGTCGGAAAAAATCAGCAGTCTGCATAAATAAAATATGGTGAAATTTTGTAGGGCACCAAGAACTATTAGATTAGATTACCTAAACAGTGTTTAAATTTATATCCATAGTCCATACCCACATCTTCACTATTGTAGAACCATGTCAATTTTCTGTTGACACAGGAATACCACATGACATGTTTGCTTAAGTTTAAACTAAGATTCTAGTGATGAAAAAGTTAGGCAGAGAGACGAATGGATTGCATTTTGTAGGATCACTCATCAGTCAACAGATAACCAGTTAACCACTAAGGACTTCTAAAAACTCTGCCAATTAATCAACCAAACTTCAACTTCCTATAATTTTACCTGATTAGCTCCATGCTTAAGACGGCGGTACTGCAACAAAAAATACAAAAAAGGTCATGTTGGAGTCCACTTTCATATATTTCAAACATTGAATAGAACAAACAATTGTCAATTATAAAAATAGCTAGTAACCTTTCCAATATTGAAGTGCTTGGTATCATGACCCAACCAGCGGAGATACCTTGTAAGCTTAGCTGCTGTAAAAGTTTTTCCACGAGCAGGCAAACCAACCTGAAGTACGTAAAACTTGTTAGAACTGTCTGCTCTAAAATATACTCATGAACAAATTATGAATCAACCAAAATGAAACCTTCCACGTTTCAAGCTACTAAGTAATACGTTTAAATTTTACAACTAAAGAAAAAACAAACTAATAAACAACACTAAAACTATATTTATAAAGTTCTAAGCTGTGTGGCCAACCACTCATGCAAGACAATACCAGGACAATTGCCAAATGTTTATCTTCCTTTGGTCCAAGCATTTGATCAGCTACGGCTGCAGCCGCAACCGCTCCAGCAGCTTCTGGCATCGAATTCTGATAAAAAGCATAGAAAGATTGAGTTTCAGAACAACACCCACTCCAGGTAGAGATGAGTTAAATTTTGATAATCTTCAAGGCCAGATGCTCGTCCCTACAGACCTTTTTTTCTGTATCAAATCTGGACTCGGAGAAAGTACTAGTACTAGAAGATTTAACTAGCCTAGGAGATCCAACACCCCTATCCACAAAGAGACCCCTGTGACTATCTTGCTTTTGGAAAGGTGAAAACGTTCCCACTGACTTTGATTCAACCATCCCAGAGGGAGAATAGAGCTTGGATGAATCTGGGATATCAACCTCCATCTCCTGCATAAACTTTGAATTAGAGGTATGCTATATGTAATACGGTACAATGGATTAAAATTCTCCACAGTCAAATATTGTCCCAGAATATGCTTAGAGCTTCTTACTGTAGAAGTTAACATTCAGATGTAATTCGGCACCAAAGTTGTTCTGATCAAAGTTGCAACAAAACAATGCGAAAGTAAGAATAGAGAGAGAGAGAGAGAGTAGTTTATATATTTATTAACCTTTGTAGTTGCATGTCGATCGGATAAAACACCACTATCCTTGAAGGTATATGAAGCACTGGTAGAGCCATCTGCTTTGGTAAAAATTCCAGAAAGATTTAATGACCTTGGAGTCTCTGTCATGTTAGCTGCATACATATGACCTGAATTGGCAGAAGTTGAAGGAGCTGGAACAACGTAATGTTCAAGGTCAAGCTCCAAACTAGCTGAAGAGCCATTCTGCATATAAAACAACCCCACTTTGAGCCAACCAACGAATATGGTCAAAAGCTTCTTAAACAGGTTGAAACAAACTAACCACCTCACTTTGATTTGTGCCAACCAGGACCTCAATTACAACCGATAAAATGTCAATAAAATGAATGAGCAATAAAGAGACGCAAATCTTCGGACTTGAAAAGTACCTCAGCACCTATCTCTGGCACTGTATCTAAACTGACATCAGGAATTCCGCGAACAGCAGAAGGCCTAAGGTTATCCTGATAAGCTCTCCAACTGGCTGCAAGATCAAACGGCGATACTCTATCCGCCTTATTGAACACCCGGTACTCGAGAACCTCATCACTGTTAAGCCTAAATATGGCCAGCCTTTGATCCCCTTGCAAGGCCCCTCCAATGAGTTGGCGGTTTGGACCCTCCTCCACAACACAAGGTGCAGGTGCGTTGTTGTTCCTTGGCTTCAAAAGAAACTTGAAGTCCAAAGTTTCTAGTTCCCGCACGAAAAACACAATCATATCCAATCAAAAATCGAAAACCAAGATCTTTGGACTCCACAGTGGCAACAGAATTGAACTAGGCAAATACTAGTACAGCAATTCAAAGCTTATAATTACAATTCGTGGTAATGAAATTCGAAAATTGAAAGCGGAATGATAAATTACCGTGATTCGGAGGAACAACAAAGCTCAATTCCCACATGGAAGTCGATTCCCGCTCCATTGAAAGCTAGTAATCATTCATACAACCAATTCAATCAATCAGCAATCAGAAAACAAAAAAGGGATTAACCAACCGAAAGAAAGTGAACTAATTGGATTGATTTTGTAGAAAGATTACAGCTTTGGAAGCATCCCAAGAGCCGACGAGCGGGACGGAGCCGAAGATGTGAGGAAGAAGCTCGCTTTTCTTGAGCTTGTAATTGTTCTCCATCTTCAACGACACGTACAGCTGTCCTCCTCCCTGGTCCAAATGCTCCTCCTCCTCCGGCTCCTCGCCGCCGTGGGAGCCGTCATCCGTCCTCTTGGACGCACCAGTCCCCATTCTCCGCTCAGAAATGGCGTTGAGCTTGTTTGGTGGTGCGAGTTTTGGGGACTGGATAGAATGGGAGTGGACGGAGAACGAGTGGGATTGGAAAATTTTGGATTGGATTGAATTTATATCTTACCGGCCTGGCTTTGGATTGGAATAGCTTTCTGGTTAGACGATGGGGCCCACTGCCATGGCTAACTGCATAGCTTTCTAGATATACTCGCTTCTTCTGCTTGACACGTGTTTAGCTATTTAAAAACACTTTTAAATTTTAAAAGCACATCTAAACGAGTTCTAGTTCTGATCAAGGAAGAAAATATCGGTAATATCGGAAATATCGGTAGTCCGAAAACACGGAAATATCGATGGAAATATCGGGATAATATCGATATCGATAAAAATTACATGGAAACCACGGAAATTGTAAGAAAAACTTGGAAATTTTTATTGAAACTTTGCAGGATGTTTATTTAGTCAATTATCTATTAGTTTATCACAAAAAATTGGAAGGAAATGCATTGCATGATGGATTTAACATTATCAAGTTGATTATATAGCGAGCTGACAAACATTGTGAGTGTAGAAAATATGTAGAAATTAATGAAAGAAGTCTAAACACACCATAATCATTTATATATAATGAATTAGTACAATATTTTACACTTTATACATTGTATGGTAAGATACATGAGTGACTTAGTACCACATAGAGTTCCTATGAGGTTCAAAATTTTCACTATCTTCATCATCTCTATGTGTAGAGTGAGTGTATTTTGAAGAGTAGTTAGCAACCATGACAATGGTTTTCAAGAACCAAAACCCAAAAGTCAATAGGAAACCGAATACTTCGGTATTTTTTCGGGATTACCAAAACAAATGGGATTTGGAAACCAATCCCATATCGAAAATTTCGGTATTTTTCGAGATGAGATTCCCGAACTTCAGGATGGTTTTGGTTTGGGGTTTTTCGGTTTGGGTTTGAGACTTTTTCGGTTTGGTTTGGGATTTTCCGGAATTTTTTCCAGCCCTACCATGTAAGTGACCAAATAAAAAAATAGAAAAATTAAAAACCACATGCCATTGACTAAGTAATTAATTGACACAATTTAAAATATAATACCACAAAAAATTTGGAAAATGTGCAAATTTGTTTCTTGTAAAAAGAATTCAAAACAAAAGAATATATATAAATATTGTAGCATATTATCACAACAACATAAGTGGTATAGTGGTTAAGGCGTTAAGGAGTTAAGTGGGAGGGGTTCGAACCCCTCTATGCTCAAAATTGAGATTTTTCAAAATTTTCAGGAATTTTTGGACTAATATCGCGATATTATCGATAATATCGCGATATTTTGACGAAAACTCATTGGATACTCATTAAAATATCGGTAACTAAAAAAAACGAAAATATCGGCGATATTTTGGATATTTTCTTCCATGGTTCTAATTAACAATCTAATATAAATAGGGTAAAGCTAGAAAGAGTATACAATTTACAAACTAAATGATATATTACCAATAGAAATTAGCACATTCATCGACTCTTAAGTAATAATCCAATTATCGATTTCATATCATTTAGTTTACAACATTTTATTTACAATTTAGTCTCCTTAACATTACCCACAAAAATATCTTGATAGCTTTTTAACTACAATTGTCCCTAAAATTGACCTAAGTCATCACCTTGGTTCCTGATATTTGAAATCGATAAAATGAATCTTGAGTTTGTCCATCATTAATCATTTGAGTATTTTATGAAAAATCTCAATTAAATAAAAAGAAAATGACAATGATACCTCAATTTTTTGTCAAATCATTTAAGCCCATTTTTATTAAATTGAGAGTATTTTTGTCATTTTGATCATTATTTAAAATTAATTTTTCATGGAAAATTGATTATGGACAAACTCAGGGACCACTTCTATTGATTTCAAATCTCAATGACCAAAGTGAATAGTTTTATTTTCTCAAACATTGGAAAATGTAGAAGGATCATTTTTAGGTTTGAATTTCAATTTTTACAAATAATAGAATAATTTACATTAAATTCATCTAAATTACAGAAAAGAAATTCGAACTCTCAAGTGCAAGAGCTACGTTTGGATTTCCTCCGATGTAATCGGACTAATAATTACGGGCCGAAGCCCAAGCAACAACAAAGATCTATTTATTTAGAAGATGGCCCAATAATGCCCTATAATTCTCACCTAGCTCGAGCCCATGTCCGTCCGATTACATCCAACGGCCCAAAATATAGCTAGGGTTTTGCTCATAAACGCTAGCACCTCGCTCCCTCACTCCCACAACGCATCTCCCATTTCTCATCCGCCGGTTCTCATCGGAGGACCTCCAACAAATATCGCAAGGTTTTCCAGTCTCGCTTCGCCGCCATGAGAGCCAAGGTAACAACTCCTAGCTGTTTACATTTCTCCATCCTCAATTTTTAGCTTTTCCGAAAAGTGCTTCTGATAAGAGATGAGCTCTGCCAAACAATGCCTTAGTTTCCGATCCTTGAATTATGAAGCTGAGATCATTTGTGCCGTGTGATTGCAGTGGAAGAAGAAGAGGATGAGGAGGTTGAAGAGGAAGCGCCGAAAGATGAGGCAGAGATCCAAGTGAGAGCAGCAGCTGAGTGTAGCTGTTCACATAGGGGTTCTCGTGTCCTTTTGGATTTTATCAGACTTAGCGGTTTGTTTAGAATTAATGTGAAACCTTTGGCGTTCTTATCTGTTTATCTTTGCTGCATTTCTTAATATTTAAATGGAATTTGACTGCTTTTTATGATTGCTTTGGTTTGATTAAAGTGTGGTTTTACTTGTTGTTTGAGTTGTTTATGTTTTGCATTGTGGATTATCTGAGTAGAATGTTAAATTTTGGGGTTGATTTCAAATTGTTTAGTTAAATTTAGGAACCATGAAAACCCATTTGAATTTGGGATAAAGTTAAGGGGTTTCTCAAATTTGGTAGAGAGATTGAGGAGTTTTCAAAATTTGGGAAGTTTAATGGAAGATTGAAGGGTTGGTTTTTTTTTTTTTTATTCTCAAAGATGGGGGAAGTTTTAGGGAAGGGTTAGGGTTGGGTGAAGGCAATCATTGATCCTTCCTACATTCTTCTCCAAACTAAAATTTGAGTGAAAAAAAATCATCCAACCCTAACTCTTCTCATTTTTAAGAAATACAGATTTATATAAGGTTGTTGTGCATGGCAGCATTCATTCAGGTTTGTTTAGGAGGATTGTTGATTATCCCAATTATGTTTTTAGGAAATGTTTGGTGACCAAGGAATGTGTGGTCATCCACCATTAGATTTGACCATTGGTGGAGATTAAATGAAGAGTTTTTAAATCTCAACTCTTAGTATAAAAATCTAAAGGTTGTGACCATGAATCCTTCATCAGTGACCATCTTATATTTGCATCTTGAAGAACTGGCATGCTTGCCTGTGGTTGTATGCAGAAACTCTTGTGTTTGGTTGGTGTACAGCGTAACTAGTCCAACCATGCTCATGAACGTCGGAGACATCTGTGGGACGTGCATATGGTGTAGAGGCAGAAATTCTAACGTTTTGCACTAGCTCAACCCTGTGGTTCAGACAAAAAAACCACTTTATCCCACCTCCTTGATTTTTCACGTTCACATCTACCCCATTTTTGGTCCCACCCTCTTTTGTTCGAAAATCTGACTTGGCCAGAGAGAGAGTTCGAAAATCGGACTTGGCCAAAGAGAGAGGGTGGCATCAAAGAGTGGAGTAGGTGTTAGCCTGACAATCAGGGGGATGGGGTAGGGTGGTTTTTTGGTCTGGGACGTAGGGTTTTGGTTTTCTACACTAAAATTTCCATCTTTTGAGACCCAAATATGGAGTGTTGGTTTTTATGTGTGATCGGATAAGTGACGTGGTCCACTAGCTTAATCTAGTATTTTCTTAGGATTTGGAGACTCTGATACTTTGAATTTTGAGTAAACGTAGTGGATTTTGATTTAATGAAGAGGGTTGACGATGATCCACATTGTGTTTATATTTAGTGGAGAATTATTGGCCTATGGGTGTTATGTAGAAGGATTCATGATAAATATTGGCCACTCACGAACTCTCTGCATTAGGGTTCCACAAGTAGGAGCGTATGACTTCAAATAAAGGGAGTCCTGTTCTTGCGAGTCAATGGAGGAGTGACTAGATTCACCTGTTTTGATCCCAGAACTCTTAGTCTCAAGAGAATTGGTATAATCTTGCTGGAGAGGAATTTGATACAGATCTAGGCGGTGTATCAAATGCCTTGTTCCTTCTCTTCCACATTCTATATGTAATGAATTAGCAGTTCTACACTTTCATGTCTTCCTTTTCATCAAACGATGCTAGACGCACCACCTCTTTTCTCATTTTTTATTTCAGCAGTCTTACTTGATGCAGATTCAATGTGGTTCCGAAATCTGACTCGCATCATGTGAGAGAGTTGTGATAATAGTTGGTAAAAGAGTTGGTGTGTTTAGTATTATTCATTCTGATTATCTGTAGTCATGTTGAATTAAGTAGCATCAATCAGAACTTGTTTACCCACTGGTTTCATTATGCATCAATGTGATCAAGGACTCTGGTGGTTCGACGGAAGACGCCGTCCACTTCCGGCGTCCTCTAAATCGGAGAATTTCCCTGAGTGAATACCTCTCGAATCCATGTTCAAATTAAACCAATCTAGGAGTTTACCAGTATAACATTTTCAAACACATTTTATGTTGGCCATTTTACAAACACATTTTTTGCTACTACTAATCTGCTTACACCCCATCGATCAATTTCCGGGTTCAAGTCACTTGAACCCCCGGAAACGCGAATTGATCAAGTCTATATAGAGCGAGCTAAATCGTGCCATTTCGTTTACTATTTGTGCGTATCTTCTTTAGTTCCTCAAACGCGAGAACCGTCTCCGAATCAAAACCACCTGCAAACTGAATTTTGTGTGTGAGTACCTGGTTCAACGAGTTAACAAGTAGGGCTAGAAATTTGGAACTGCGTTTGTGAAGAGCGCTTCACTACCTGGTGCACCCGGAAAGCGAAACGGACTCCTTGAAGCAGGAGACTTTCTTCTCTATGACATTCGCCAGACTCCACATCTCTAATAATCCTCTTCATGTATTCCTTGGCTAGCCTTAGTGAGCTCAGTTTCATCTGCAAGTGGTCATGTGTACAAGATATGCAGTTATTATCAATCCATGGTTTTTGTGGAAATGAAGATGTTTTCAAATGAATGTGTGTGAATCCATCCCCTTGCTTCAAATCCACTCCTCAACTGTTGTCGTTAGCACTTTGAAACAGTCGTGCAATGCAAAAAACTATTTTAGAGTGCTAATAACATTTCTCGCGATCTACGATGCATAGTTCGTAGAACAGTGAGAAATGTTGTCAATTCATGTTATCAGTATTCTGACTTTATAGCTTCCACATTAATATTAATCAGTTGAAAATTGAAACTCGATGTGGATTGCTTAGCTAGAAGGTAGATATTTAGTCACTTAAAGCTCTAATTATTCTGAATTTAGTACCATGTTAATGGAAGTCAACAGTAAACATATAATTCACTCTTTCATAAATTATTGAGAAATGCTAGGGACTCTTTTAAAGTGAAGTTTTTCATGGACTCTCTGTCACCTCATAATTTAAAGTTAATTTTTGTACCAACATTATAAAACATTGTATCAAAACATGAGGTGGCAGAAAATTCATGAAGAGTCCCACTTATAACCTGTTAATATTTCTCTAAATTAGGGTAAATTACATAGTAGCCCCTCAGGTTTGAGGGTAAATTACAACCCCATACAACAACTTTAAAACATTTCACTTACATACATCTAGTACCATTTTATTTCAAAATAACACCTCCGTTAGATTTTCCATCCATTAGTCTGTTAAATGCTAACGTGGCTACCACATGTGCTGATGTGGCTGTCACGTGGAAAAAAAATATTTTTTATACATTAAAAATATTATAATATTAACCCAATTAAAAAAACTAGAAAATCCCTGAACCCAGATCCCTTCCTCCCCCCCCTTCCACTCTTCTGCAACTCCCAAAATCCTCTCTTCTCCCCGCAACCCCCAAACCCATATCCCTCATCTTCATCTTCTTCCCTGCAACCCAGAAATGATAACCCCCCACCCCACCCCACCTGCGTCCCTCACCCCAAAGCCAAAAACCCAGAACACTCCTGCCCCCTAACCCGCGACCCTCCCTGTGCACCCCCTAACCTGCGACCCTCCCTCCCTCCGCACCCACCCTCTTTCCTTCTCTACACACCATCCAAACCCAGATCCCCTTTCTTCCCCCTCTTCTCTCTGCAATCCCTTCCCACTATCCCTCACCCACCCACCCACCCACCCCCCCCCCCCAAACAACCTCACCCTCCTAAGCGACCCACATACCTGCAACAACAAAAAGAAGAAGAAGAAGAGGGAAGAAGAAGAAAAAAAAGAAAACCCCCATGGCCCTGTCGCAACCCGCAACCCATGACCCACGACCCACCTCCTTTCCTCCTGCTCCGCCACAACCTGCGACCCACTTCCCTTCCCCCCTCCCCGCGCAACCTTCTGGTGACCTTCTCGCGAACTGGGCTTTTTTTTTCTTTTTTTTTTCTCCCTCTTCGTCTTCTTCTTCTTCTTCTTCTTGCAGGTTTTGGAGGGGACGAATTGGGGTTTTTTTTTTTCCTCCCTCTTCTTCTTCTTCTTCTTCTTCTTGCAGGTTTTTGGGTTCTAGGTTAGGGATAGGGATGTGGGTCGCTTGGGGGAAGGTCGCTGGGGGGTGGGTGAGGGATGGTGGGAAGGGATTGCAGAGAGGAGAGGGGGAAGAAAGAGGATCTGGGTTAGGGTTTTTATGTTTTTTTTTATTTTTTAATTTGGTTAATATTATAATATTTTTAATGTATAAAAAATATTTTTTTCCACATGGCAGCCACATAAGCACAAATGTGGTATGTCAGCATTTAACAGACTAATGGATAGAAAATCTAACAGATGTGTTATTTTGAAATAAAATGGTACTGGATGTATAAAAGTGAAATGTTTTAAAGTTGTTGTATGGGGTTGTAACAGACCTCAAACCTGAGGGGTTACTATGTAATTTACCTTCTAAATTATTATTTGAATGATTGCCAAATTAAAGCTATTGGTAAGCCATAGTAATCAGAGGCCGCAGGGGACCTTAAGCCATAATGGTAAACGGTAAAACAGTAATTAATTTGGTAATCGCTCTCTACCTACCTGACCCATCAGCCCTGTGTCCAGCATCCACTCCCATGGGATCTGAAAATCCCTGTATCTCTTGCTGGCACTCTCCCTTGTTCTTTCTGTGCTGCTCACACTTCTTTCCAACCTGCAAAACCGGATTTGTGACGTTAAACGAGGCGTTATTCTAAATTACTGCTCCGGTCAACTGACCTAACCCGAATCCGTAGTTTCCGATATCAATGGAATAGTAATAAGCTATTGTACTCCATGCTTGCCTGTCTTGTAATGCTTCCATTCTTCTCAGAGCAAGGATTGATGGCTCCTTCATGTTGTCCTCAAACGATGAGGCTTCGTTTTTCAGATTCCTCAGGTCTCTGTAGCTGAAAGCGGCTTCTCGCAGCGTGTCTGCTTTTCGTTCCGGCCACTGCGGGAAGTGCTTCAGCACTGCTCTCTCATCGACTAAAGAAGATAGCTGCCGATCCAGCCAGTTCACAAATGCTTCCACATCTGCAATATTTGTAAATTTTGCAGACTCGACCTCACTGATCAAAAAGTTTACGAACTCTCCTTGCGTTTCGACCTCCGACTTTATCTGTCCATG